AAGCAGTACCCCGAGCAGGACCACCCTCAGTAGGACCTGAGTCACCTGTGACCTCAACCGGCGCAGACAAGGGAGGAGGGTCTACCTGAGACACACCTGAAGGAGCAGGACCGGGAGCGGGGAGGGGGTCTACCTGGGAGCACCTAGAGCGAGGAAGAGCGGCGGGGGGGGGGAGAGGGGCAGTGCGGTAGGGGAAGAGACGGTAAAAGGGAACCGACTCGTCGAACGTGACGTCCTGGGAGGGGAAGACACAGCGCGAGGTGGGGTGGTAAAACTGCCAACCAGGCGCGTCAGGGACAAAGCCAAGGAAGACACAGGGAACAGCGCGGGCGGAGAGCTTGTCCGCGGTGGTATCGCGGACAAAGGCACGAGCACCCCAGACCCGGAAACGCGACGCATCGCCAACCTTCCCCGTCCACAGCAGTGTGGGCGAGGTCTCCGGCAAGGAGACACGGGGCCAGAGGTTGAGCTGATGCGCGGCGTACCAGACCGCAACCACAGAAAATGGGGGGCAGCCGCATGGATCATGGAGGTACAAGCGACCTCCATGACTAAGCCAATGCGGCGCTCAGCAACCCCATTCTGCTGCGGAGAGGCCGGAAGCGTGAACGTCTGGCGGATGCCGTGCTCCGCACAGAAGGCTGCCAAGAGGTCGAAGGAAAACTCCCCACCTCTGTCAGAGTGCAGACGCAGGACGGGAAACTCCGTCCCGAACCTTTCGCGGAGCTGGAGACGAGTAGCGCGGATCCAAGGGATCAAAACATCAGGGACCTCACCCTTGGTGCGCAAGGGGAAGACCATGGTGTAGCGCGTGTAGTCGTCGACGACCAGCAGGAAGTACCGCTCGTGGCCCTGTCCACGGACGCGGGCTGGGCCCCACACGTCCAGGTGGAGAGTCTGCAGGGGAGCCTCTGTGGGAAGGAACGAGGAGGAGTGAGGAGCGGCGCGCTGCCGCCCCTCGACACAGGGAAGACAGGGAGGATCAGGCGAGGGTGGGAGGGGAGGGAGAACCCTGGGAAGACCAGAGACAAGGACACGGCGGTGCATGCTGCGAAGGCGCTGCACCGAGGGGTGACCAAGGCGGTGGTGCCAAAGGAGGGTCTGGTGCGACAAGGCGCGACACGAGCAGGGGGCCGACAACTGACCTGGCGCAGACGCAGACACAGCTACCTGAGGGAACGCAGTGGTCAGTGTGTACAGGCCCGACCCCGGCTGCCGAGTGAAGGTAGCCAGGTGACGACCCGTCTGAGCACACGTGCAGTGTGTCACACGCTCGTAGGCAGGGGTGAACTGGTGAACACCCGCATCCTGGAGCGCGGAACCCGCCACCAAGTTCGTAGAGAACGAGGGGAGGTAAAGACCCGACAGTGTGCCGGACGGGACAGCAGGACAAGGGAGGACAGTGGAGGAGGTCGCACGGACTGGACCCCCAGAGGGGTCTGCCAGGGAGACTGGAACCGGCCGACTGAGCGGCGTGAGGGTGGTGCTGTCGCAAAAGATGGAGCGAGAAGCACCAGAGTCAAGTGTGAAGGTGTACAAGGCCTCAGCAGGCGCAGTACCAGAGAGAGCAGACTCACCAGCACCTGAAGCAGCAGCCTCACCAGCACCTAGAGCAGGAGACGCACGAGCACCTAGGGCAGCAGGCTCACCAGCACCGAGAGCAGCAGGCTCTATACCTGGGTCGGGCGGTACGCACAGGTAACAGGCACGGTCAGCACTAGTAGGCAATGCATATATGGCAGTGAGAATAGCATCATAGTCAAGAGCAAATATATCTACCCTCTGCCCAAGGAGCTCCACCCAGTCGGGGAGCTCAGCCTCGTCGCCAAACTCGGTACGCCAGGCGTCGCTCAGACGGGCGAAGCAGCGGGACTGTGTATGACTAAGCGTCCCGCAAGCCTGACCCGTCCGATCACCTGTGCGAATGACGTACGGGCAGCGAACGGTACTCAAAGACCCTCTACTCTGAGCGTACCACTCACGAAGCTGCTGGGACGTAAGTGTCTCGCGCGGACGCTGCTGCAGCTGCAGCTGGCCACCGCCAGACGCTCCCGACTGACCAGCTCCAGGGCGACAGCCAGGACGGCTACCACCACAACCCCAACTAGCGTACCACTCACGAAGCTGCTGGGGCGTGAGAGACTCGCGCGGACGTCGCTGGAGCTGCATCTGGCCACCGCCAGTAGCAGCAGTAGCAGTGGTAGTGGCAGTAGTAGTAGCAGCAGCAGCGCGGGCAGGGCAGGCGCGGCAGGCAGGTAGGCAGGCAGGCAGACAGGGAGGCAGGCAGGCAGGCAGACAGGCTGGCAGGCAGGCAGGCTGGCTGGCAGGCAGGCAGTGCGCTAACAAGGCAGGTGCTCACCAGTGGCGGGAAGAGCAGGCGCTCGCCGTGCGAGCAAGGCCGGCGCTTAGCGGGCGGCTGCACGGGGTCCAGGGGCGGCGTCGCGGGTCCAGGGGCGGCGTCGCGGGGTCCAGGGGCGGCTCCACTGAGTCCAGGGGCGGCTGCACCAGGGGCGGCTGCTTCAGGGGCCAGGGGCGGCTGCTCTGGGTCCAGGGGCGGTTGCTCGAGGGTCCAGGGGCGGCTGCACCAGAGGCGGCAGCTGCAGGGGCCAGGGGCGGCTGCTCAGGGTCCAGGGTCAGCTGCTCGAGGGTCCAGGGGCGGCTGCACCAGGGGCGGCTGCTGTAGGAGCCACGGGCGGCTGCTCTGGGTCCAGGGGCGGCTGCTCGAGTGTCCAGGGGCAGCCGCGGCGCGCGGGCCTGAAGCGCGCAACGCGAGCTGCGGGCGCGGCGCGCGAAGTCGCCGCGGGCTGCGCGAGGACGGCAGCCGCGGCGCGCAGGGCTGCAGCTTGACGTGCGGGCAGCGGACGCGACGCGCGGGGCTGCAGCGTGACGCGCGAGGCTGCAGCGCGACGTGCGGGCAGCTGACGCGACGCGCGGGGCTGCAGCGCGACGCGCGAGGCTGCAGCGGGACGCGCGGGGCTGCAGTGCGACGCGCGGGGCTGCAGCACGCAGCGCGGGCTGCGGACGTGGCGCGCGGAGCAGCAGCGAGCCGCGCGCGGAGCAGCAGCGAGCCGCGCGCGAGCTGCTGCAGGGCGGGGCCAGGTGGGGCCGCGTCAGTGGCAGGTCGTGGCCGCGAGGAGGGGCGGCGCTCTGGCCTGACGGGCCTGCAGGGGCGGCTCGCGGGCCTGACGGGCCTGCAGGGGCGGCTCGCGGGCCTGACGGGCCTGCAGGGGCGACGTGCGGGCCGTACGAGTCTGCAGGGGCGGCGCGCGGGCCTTACGGGCCTGTAGGGGCGGCGCGCTGGCCTAGGGCAGTAGTAGGGAGCGCGAGGGCTGCAGGACGGCGCGCGCAGCGCAGCACGTCACAAGGCAAGGCAGGCAACACGTGGGGTAGCGTGGTAACCACAACGGTAGGTGGGCCCGAAAAAAAAAGACGGTCCTACGGACCTAGTGCTCTGAAACCATGTTAGAAACTAGCAGCAGGAATGGATGAACTATGAAAGAGTTGGGTACAAGTATGAAACCCTAAAAGGGGCTGTACCCCAAATTGGCTACCCCACTACAGCCTAAACATACATAGCATATATATACTTTGGCAGTCCTCTCTGCCCATGCTGGCAGCGGAGCAGCTAGAGTGGCAGGTGCTGCCTCTGACAACTGAACCAAGCTTGAACAGATGTGAATCATCCCCACCCACCACCATCACTCTCATCCGCCAGCCGTGGGCTGTGCCCGACTCGTACCCGTATGGGGAAGGCAGTGGCTCCCTCCTTCCCATACTAGCAGTGGAGCAGCTAGAGTGGCAGGTGCTACCTCTGACAACTGAACCAAGCTTGAGCAGATGTGAATCACTCCCGCCGCATCACTCTCATCCGCAAACCATGGGCCGTGCCCGACTCGTACACGTATGGGAAAGGGGACTCCCTCCTTCCCATGTTAGCAGCGGAGCAGCAAGAGTGGCAGGTGCTACCTCTGACAACTGAACCAATCTCCAAACCCGACTTCGATTGATGGCCCCCCACTCACTCTGCTTCACTGCCCATAAGCCGTACCCGACTCATACTCGTATGGGAAAGGCTGTCCCCTCTGCCCATGCTGGCAGCTGAGCAGCTAGAGTGGCTGGCAGGTGCTGCCTCTGACAACTGAACCAAGCCCAAGTTTCGAACCTAACCAAAGAAGCTTGCTCATTCACAACGACCCTGCTTTGCCTCCCTGGGTCGCGCCCGACTCATACCCGACAGCACTGGGGGATCCCAGAACCTGCCGTTGTTCCATGCTTGCAGGGGGGTAGCTGAATATGCAGGTGCTGTCTATAAATGTCTGATTATACCCTTGGATAAAGGTTTTCAGTGTACTGTGATCCTTGATCCAGTTCGCCTGTGAGGCTCGTATAGAGACCTTACAATCAATCGATACACTCTCACATCTTGCCTTGTTTGTTATACGGTACTGCTTGATAAGCTTGAAGAACCTGCAAGTCATGCATGAGTTAGCTTTACGCGGCACGTGTGTGAGCTGAGCCACAATATATGTTGATACGTGCCCTTTTATGCATCTAGTGCCTCAAACCCAATGGCAGGGCAGTCAGTTTTCCACTGCTTCAACTCGACGCATCCTGGTGTGACGATGATTGATTGACCACCACAACACTCTAACGCCCTGCCCTGTCTGCTCCATGCCTTGCTGTGAGCACCACCGCCAATGACACACCCCCATGACACGCCCCACCGCACATCTATCTGCCCGTCTGACCAATGACCCAGTACCGCTATGCCCCCTGCCTGGCCCCATCCCACACTTATAATATCACGCCCCTGCCTGCCCCATCACCCTGTGCCGTTTGATCAGCTGCAGTAGAAACACATTCCAAGAGACCACAGGCCCAGCTTCGATGTGCCGCAAAAGGCCTCTATACCGCAGCCCGCCCCATGACCCGCTGGCCCTGTGCCGCTAAACTACACCCCTGCCCGCCCCGTGACTCTATGGCTCAGTGCCCCTGTGCCTCTACGTCCCTGCCTGCCCCATCACCCTATGCCGTTTAACCAGCTGCAGCAGAAACACATTCCACGAGTCCACAGGCCCCGGCAGGCACCAGTGCAGGCAGTCCTGCGGGGGAGGATACCTGGCCTCTTTCTCCTCCTGCCTGCGCTTCTCCAGCTCGGCAACACTGTTCAGCCCTCTGTACGGCCCCGGATGCCCGTCAACTCTCACCCCCGCACTCGGCATTATGTCCATCAGGCCAAACCGCCACTTGTAGTCTTCTCCCAGGCCCTCCATAGCCTCGTTATAAGCTGCCCTCTGCTCGTTATAAATCGCGTTTCCGTACGTGTTCTCGTAGGTGTAGCCGCTGCCGCGAGGCTCGGCCAGGCCTGCGCACGAGCCTCCGGTGTTCCACTGCCCGCCCTCGTAGTGGTCCGGGGAGTAGGTTCGGAAGACAAACAGCTGCTTCGGGTTCGCCTTGACAGCCGCAGCCACATCCGCAAAGACGGTCCGAATGGCAATTGAGAACGCAGCAGTGTTGTTCAGAGGAACCTGTATATCCTGGATCCATCTGCTACTGGCGGGTCTGTTTTCAACTGAAGACTGTGTATCCTCATTTGCAATCCTTCCCTCCAACCGTCTCCGCTGCTCCCTCTGTTGCTCCTGCCCACCACTCTCACCTCCCTTCCTTTCCAGCTGCTCCGCACTGCCTTCAGAACCGCTCTCTTTCCCACTTTTTCCTCCTCCTCCCCCTCCCGCTCCCGCCCCCCCCCCCCCTCCTCCTCCTCCTCCTCCTGCTCTCGTCTCCTCGCCATTCCCCACTCCTCCCCCTCCCTCCACCTCCTTCCCATGAGCCTCCCACCACCCGCCCTGCGACCCCACCACGCGTCCCCCCACCACAAACAGCGCAGGCTTAACAAACCAGTGCCCTGTGCACAGCACCACCACATCGTACCGCTCTACACCCCCCCACCACTTCTCCCCCGTCCTGTCCAGGTGCAGGCGCGGAAGGGACGCAGGCGCAGAGGGCAGCGCGGAGGGGGGAGGGTCGGGGGACTCGTGGACGAGCCACGCGGACCAGATGCGCGCTATGGTGAGCTTGGCGCGCGGGAAGACCATTCGGATCAGACTCTTGCTGCCCCGCAGGTGGGGGGTCTCCACCTGGGAGACGAGGTAAGGGGAGGGGAGGGAAAGGAATCAGGAGACTCGTGGACGAGCCAGGCAGACCAGATGCGCGCGATGGTGAGCTTGGCACGCGGGAACACCATGCGGATCAGGCTTTTGCTGCCCCGCAGGTGGGGGGTTTCCACCTGGATTACCGGGGGGGAAGAGACGGGAGAATGAGCGACTCCATGCGGTTCCGTGCCACTGAGTCCCCCACGAACAGCACGCTCTTCCCTCGCTTCACGTGCATGAACTCCACCGCATCAAACCTCGTTAAACGCCCAGAACCCCCCTCCCTCTCCCCCGAATCTGTCCCAATGGCTCACCTGGCTCAGCAGGCAGATCAGGGATTCCATGTGATTCCTTGCCACAGAGTCCCCAACGAATAGCACGCTCTTCCCTCGCATCACGTGCATGAACTCCACCGCATCAAACCGCGGCAGCGCCCCGCACTCCTCCCTCCCCCCCGGCCGCCACCGCCACCGCTCGTACCCACTGTCCGGCCGCCCGTTGCCCTGGCAGTTCTGGTGCTGCGAGATGGCGGCGCACGTGTTGTTGGTGTAGAGCGGCGGTTCTAAGTCTGGCTGCCACGTGCCGTGGTACAGGTCGCAGACCGCGGGGACTGGGAACGGGAGGAGGGTCATTGACAAATAGAGAGCGGGAAGAGAGAGCAAAGGAATTCAGTTCAGTCTGGATGCCACGTGCCATGGTACAGGTCGCAGTCCGCGGGGACTGGGAAGGGGGCGGGTCATGGGCAACCAAAGAGCGGGAAAAAATAACGAGGGGGTTCAAGTTGCGTCTGGCTGCCACGTGCCGTGGTACAGGTCGCAGTCCGCGGGTACTGGGGGAGGGAGGCGGGGGAAGATGGGAGTGGGGTGGGATTGCGTGGGAGTGGGGGCAGGATTATCATCCCGAAGGTTGGCAATCGGAGAGGGGGGGAAACCAACAGGTGGGTTGGGTCTGCGTCTGGTCAGAACTCAGGTCGCAGTCGCAGGGGGTGGGGAAGGGAGGCAGTGTGGCGCAGATTGGGGGGAAAGGGAAAGAGCGGAAGGAGGGGTAGTGGGGTTGTTTGAGATCAGTGAAAAGGTTCAGAGTGACCATTCGTTTGCCACAACGCAGCTGCATTGGCGAAAACTGAACACGTGGGCTTCCACGTGCCATGGCACAGGCCACAATACGCAGGACAGGGAAAGGAGCTGGCGTGGTGGAAACGAGCTGTCTGCAAGCATACCGTCAAGATGGACTTTCTCTTTGACCTCCTCGTGCTGCTGACGCTTCTTTCCCTACTTCTTCCCCTTCCCCTTCCCCTTCTCCTTCTCCTCCTTCTCTTTCCCCTTCATCTTCTTCTCCGTCTCCTCCTCCTCCTTCCCCTTCTTCTCCTTCTCCTTCTCCTTCTCCTTCTCCTTCTCCTTCTCCTCCTCCTCCCTCTTCCCCTCTTTCTTCTCCACCTCCTCCATCTCGATCCCTCTCTTCTCCTCTTTCCTCTCCTCTTCCCCTTTCTCTCCTACGCCTCGGCTCCCTCCCTCACTCTCCACCACCACATTCTCATCCTGCCGCCCCTCCGATGACATCTGAGTTGCCTCAGAAAGTTTTTCCTCGCCCTGACCATCTCCGTCCCCTTTCTCTCTCATCCCCTCATCCTTCACATCAGTCCCCACTTTCAGTCCATCGCTCCCTTCCCCGTTACCCTCACCCCTGCTCTCCCCCTTGCCTCCATCGCCGTCCTCTTTTCCCATCTCCCCGTTGCTGTCCGCCGTTCTCTCCCCATTTGAGCCGTCCACCCCATCTCCCGCTTCCTTTTTACGTTGCCCACGATCAGGTAACCCGTCGTCGCCGTCGCCGGTCGCCTCTCGCAAACGCTCAACCACTTTCTCTTGCTCTTTTTTCCCTGCATCGGACAACGGTACCCCTTCACTGCCCTCCTCCACACGTGATACGGTCGCTTTGGAAGGCTCTCTGACCATTTGCTCACTCGCTGCTGCCAAGCCACCGTGTGACGCTTGCGACGGTAACAACGACGACGGCGAAGACTCGACGACAATCTCCGCTCGCCACGGCTGCCGTTCCACGGCCGGCCACCTCCCGTTCTCAGATCCGCTTCGGCGCAGCAAGCCCCAGACGAGCAGGCACGCGAGAAGCGGCAGCACGAGGAACGAAAGAATGCGTTTCGACTGGAACGCAAGGACGATCCACATGATCACGCGGCCTACGCCGTCCTCTCTTCGCGATTTCGTGCGTGGAAGAAGAGAACCGGAAAAGGCGGCTGATCTTGGAGATTGGCTTCCCGTGAAGAAGGAGTTGCACGACTCGCTGCGTTTTGGCATCTGATTGAGCGATCCTGACCGTTGAGCGATCTCCGCGAGGGCTTTCGAAAGGAATGTCATGGTGACGATTTTAGTGAAGAGGTGTGCGGAGGTAAAGGTGTGTTAATGCACGACCGTACGGTAACCAGAATGGCACTCAAGATGGAAAAATGCGCGAAAGGCTTTTGCCGTTACATCCTGGACCGCGAATTGAGAGACCTTGCCGAAGCAGGTTCTAGGATTTTAGGAACGAAACGATGAACTCGACAGTGACGAGGATCGATTTTAAAGGCTGTGGTTTTCAGACATGACTGCTTCTGAGCATTATTCCACACCCAGGAATCAACGGTCATTTCGCTCGGGGCTTTCTAATGGAGGTCCGTCCGCGATCCTCGGAATTCAGAGTCGCCTCGACGCGCAGATGTCCTAGATATCCGTGACTCTGAGCTTGACAGGTAACAAAAATCTAAGCAGTGCCTAGTGAAGCAGGAGAGACTGACTACATAAGAACTGCCATAACTTACTGAGAAAAAATGCGGGCGGTACTTAAAAAGACTGATAAGCCAGATAGCCTCAGCGAGTCTATAAGGTATCAACGTTTGAGGCCCAGCCTGCAGCTTACCTCCAAATCATCCAACCTGGAGATTCGAGCTTACCCCTAAACCAAGGACGGCATTCAGCAGGATCTGTTGACCATCAGCTCGAACTGCGCTCTCTCTGGTCTGGAGCTGCTGACAGAATCGAGGGCTGCTACCTGAATTACACTTCCCGCCTTAACTTTTGATCGGCTGGCTGGAACGATGCGACATGGTAACTCTCTGACACGAACCCGCCTCAGGGCGAACCGCGCCAGTGAAGAACAAAATCCTAGTTCTCGAAGTCGCTTACGTTGAAGAACTATACACCAAAAAAATCAATCAAATTAGCCGAGCACAGGTAACATTTGCACTTGCTCAGTACAAATGCTAGAAAGAATATCATAAATTTGCTTACATCTCACTGTGCAGCAGCTGGCAACAGTGGGGAATGCACAGGCGAGGACGACGATGATGTCATGGACGAATGTGGACTGCACATGCCATCTGCCGGTGACACTAGATGATGCTGACGTGGCATCGAAAATGCCTGCCTCAGCTGGATCTCCAGCCGTCTTGAACTAGCCGCATCCGACGGTTGAGATCGATCAACCGAACCCGGATGATGCTGCCTGGGCTGAAGAGATGAAGTAGCCGCCGAGGACTGGGCAGCGGAAGAGGAAGAGGACGAAGAGGCGGCACCCTGGGTGCGGGGAAGGGTGAGGTCGTCAGGTGCCACAGCTCCAGGGCTATCTATGGAACACAGGGACTGCACAGCACAGGCAAGGAGGAGTGAGGGGGGGCAAGGGGAAGGAGAAGGGCAGGAAAAGTGATTGTTTGGTGCATGAGAAAAACTGGCATGGGGGGAGTGAAGGGCGAGGCCACGAGGCGCTGCAGAGGGCTGTGCATGGAGCACAGGGACTGCAGCGCACGGACAGGAGGGGTGGAAAAGGGGGGAGGGGGGAGGGTTGGTGGTGAGGAGAAAGAAGTGAACGAGATGGTTGAGGTATGAGAGGTTGAAATGCGTGGACCGAGGGTTGTCTGGTGCAGATGAGGGGGCAACTGACCAACCAGACCATACGAACAAGCCATTCAACCCCTTTCAACCGCACACAATCCCCTCTTACCGGCGAGCCAGTGAAGCTGCTGGTACCAGACTCGCCCTCCTCACTGCCCTCCGACATGATCGTGGGGAACATGGGGCGGCGTAGTGAGCCTGCCCCTCTGCCAGCCCCCCTGGGCTGCACAGGCCAGGCTGGCAGCACCCGTGGCTGTGGCTGTAGCGGCGGGAGCTGCGGCCGCGTGTGCTGCTGCTGCTGCTGCTGCTGCTGGGGTGGCTGTTGTGAGGGTGGTTGCGGCGATGGTTGTTGCTGCTGCTGCCTGCTCTGCTGACTCTGTTGACTCGGTTGACTCTGCTGGGGCTGCTGGGTCTGTGCCCCCTGCTGCTGTAGCTGCTGCTGCTCCTGTCGAACCTGGGCTGGTGTGGATGACAATGACAAAGAGGACAAAGGAACCACCTCCCTCTCCTGCCTCTCCCCTTTCACATCCAATGCTGCTCCACCCACCCCGCCACCACCATTTCCCCCCCCACCAGCCACCGCTCCCACTGTCGAACCCTCCTTGGCCCCAGGGGACCGCAGGACCTTCCCCTCACTCCCACCGCTGCCCACACCGCTACCAGCACCCCCCGTGCCCCCTGAAACCACTCTACCAGGAGACGAGTTCAGCTCCAAAGGTGGAGGCGGGAGGGCATATAACTCTGTGACCTTGGGCGGGGAGAGCGCAGGAGCAGCCATGGCCGCATAGTAGCTGTTACTCGGCCCAATCGGGCCGGATTTTATCAGCCTCTCTCCCCGCATGTGTCCTGTGCCGCTGCTGTTGAAACCGCCACTGCCGCCGCCACCACTGCCGCTGCTGCTACCACTGCCACCAGCACCGGTCAGGCCTGGAATGCCGGCTGAGGAGAACAAACCACTGCCTCCGTAGAAAGAGCTGCGGGCTATGGGTCCACTCAGGGCCTTGCTGGGTAAACCACCCTGGAAAACAGGCGAGGCGCCAAACCCTAATCCGCTGCTACCGCTCCCAAACCCTAATCCGGCACTCGGGCTGGTGTTGAAACCGTAAGCTGGGTGGGACGGATAGCTTTGACCCACACCCAGGCCTCCCGTTTGAACTCCCATTGGGACTCCTGTTGAAGGTCCCATCGACACTGCTGCCGGGACTGCTAGGCCTGTTGCTCCTGCTGCGGCTGCCATCCCTGTTGGCCTCATACCGGCTCCAGACACACCAGCTTGCCAGCTAGGCTGCGGCTCCATCCCATACCCTGCCCCGCTGCCCACTGCTCCCCCTGCTGCTGCCCCAGCGTAGGCATACCCAGACACAGGAGCAGCTGTGAGGGTCGTAGCAGGTTGAGAGGGCATGGGTGATTGGGAAGGCATAGGAGGTTGGGAGGGTATGGCTCCCATCATGTACGCTTGCTGGAGGCTGGATGAGAAGGCAGGTGCTGATGATGGGGGGTATGATGCGGAGGGAGGGAAGGAGGACGAGGGAGGGTAAGAAGCAGAGGGATCGTACAGAGGCATGGTTGTGCCTGCTCCTGTTGCTCCTCCTGCTCCTGCTCTTGCTGCTCCTGTTGCCCCTAATGCTGTTCCTAACACTGACCCAGCACCAGCACCGCTGCCCCTGAGAATCGGCCCCGAATGGCTTACTCTCTTTGCTGGGGCGTGAAGCCCAGGCATGGGCATGGCTGCTCCTCCAGTCAGCCCACCTGTGAAGCCCCCTGCCAAACCACCTGAAGGACCTCCTGCCAACCCACCTGCTGGGCCTTCCCTGCTGACAGAGCTAAAGCTGAACCGCCCTCCCCCACTTCCGCCTGCTCCACCTGCCGAGCCACCTGCCGGACCACCTGCCGAACCACCTCCGGGGCCTGCAGGACCGCCTGTAGCAGGACCAGTAGCTGTAGCAGAGGCAGAGGTAGCAGCAGCAGCTCCTGTTACAGCTTGTTCAACAGCAGAGGGGCGGGGCAGCGGGCCAGACATTTGCATGGCAAAGGGACCCACGTGTGCTGCTCTCCCCCTCAACCCACCCCCACCCCCCGCTGCTGCTGCTGCCACTGCAGCTGAAAGTACTGGTGTTTGGAGCACAGGAGCAGCAGCAGTAGCAGCTGGAGGTGTTGTATGCGTGGGAGTGGCAGCAGCACCAGCAACGAGTGCAGGGGAGGGAGTGGCGCCAGACGCAGCTGCAGAACCTGTGACGCCTGGGGCATTACCTGAAGCATTCCCTAGGGTGCTGCCTGGAGCTCTGACAAGGGAAGGCGTACAAAAAGTTGCTCCAGGGAGTGGTGCTGCTGCTGCCACTGCTGCAGCTGCTGCAGGAGCGGTGGGTGTAGCACCACCACCACCAACAGCAGGAGCAGCAGAAACGTGAGTGGCAGCAGAAGCAGCGCTAGGGAGGGCAGACGGTGAGGGGATGGGTCCTGACTTGGAGCGAGAGTGGTTTTGGGGGTTAGAGGAGGAGGAAGAGGAGGAGGAGGGAACAACGAGGGTGGACGAGCCTACAGAGGAACTCTGCAGGTGTGTGTTTGCTCTCCCGATACGCATCTGCTGCCCTCTTTGTTGCTGCCCTTGAGAATGCTGCTGCTGCTGCTGCTGCTGATGCTGCTGCTGTTTTGCTTGTTGCTGTTGTTGTTGGTGCTGCTGCGTCCCTAGCTGCTGCTGTGGCTGCTGGGGCTGACGGTGCAGCTGTTGTGGCTGGGGGGTGCTGCTGCTGTGGGGGCTATCAGAGGACTTGCTTCGGGGAAAGCCAGGGTGCAACCGTTTCCTTGCCTGCTGTGGAAGTATGTGCAGATGGTGTCCTTGCTGCTGCTGCTGTCCTTGCTGCTGCTTTACAGCCGCCTTATGCTGTTGCTGCTGCGCTAGTGGCTGCTGCTGCTGCTGCTGCTGCTGCTGCTGCCCTTGCTGTTGCACCAGCTGCTGCTGCAGACCCTGACCTGCCTGCTGCTGCACCACCCTTGCAGAACCAGCTGCAGATGCTGCAGCTGTAGCAGAGGAAAAAGGAGCAGCAGCAGCAGCAGCAGCAGGCGCAGGGACAGCAGGGAGAGGCGCCAATGACTCGCTTTCAGCTGACCTGTTACGGGGTAGAAGGGGCCGTGACGTGACAGAGCCGTCAGGGCGTACAACGGGCCTCAAAGGGGCAGAGTAGCTGCTCCTGCCTCTCCCTCTAGATGCACTCTGTGCAACTGCTGCCGCGGTCGCCGCCGCAGCTGCTGCTGCTGCTGCTGCTGCTGATCCTGATCCTGATAATGATGCTGCTGCAGCAGGTACTACAGCTCCTCCTGGGCCTGGAACAGTGGTAGGTCCTGTGACAGAAGGGTGTGCAGCGAACGAAGCAGTAGCGGCAGCAGCTGCAGAAGCAACAGCTGCAGACATGATAGTGGTGTTGCTGCTACTGGTGGTGGTGGGTTGGGTGGAGTGGGCAGGAGGAGGTGAAGGCAGGGGCGCGGAGGTGGGGGGAGCGGGGAGGGGGGCGGAGGTGGGAACTGAGGGCAAGGGGGCGGAGGTAGGGGGCGGCGGAAGCGTGGTGAACGTGTCTTGACATGCGGTGCTCTGCAGGCACAGCACAGGTGGAAGGGTGGACAGTATAGGAAGCTTTGAGTTGATGCAAAACGCGTAGAGAACGTGTGTTGGGGATGAGGTGCCCTGCCAACACAGCACAGGAGCCCGGGTGCAAGCACAGCACAGGAACCCGGGTGCAAGGCGGGTATGGTGACAAGGCAGGTACAAGGCGGGTATGGTGACAAGGCAGGTGACAAGACAGGCACGTAGACAAGGCAGGTACGGTAACACACACCTGCTCCACACTGCCTGCTCCCACGCCCCCCCAGTCATCATCCTCGTCATAGTCACCCTCATCAACGCTACAAAGCAGCGCCGCACGCCCCATCCCCAGCTCCTCCACAAGATACCCCATGATCCCATCCAGCTGCCCCAGCTGCAGCTGAGACCGTCTCAGCAGCCGGCTCTTTGCCACGTGGTGCCTCACAACCTGAGAGAGTAACGCCCTGGGCCGCCTCTGCTCTAAGGCAAGTATCCTGCACCCGAGAGTCATGGCTACTTCGTCAAATTCCTCCTTGGCTGCCCGCTCCTCCTCGCTCATTTCCTCCTCTTCCTCCTCCTCATCTCTCCCCCCTTCTTCTGGCTCTCGCCTGCCCCGGCCTCGCGCTGCCCCTCCTTCCCAGTCTGTCTCGCCAACTGTTGCTGCTCTCGCCACTGCCGCCGACCCTCCTCCCCCTCCTGCTCCGCCTGCTGCTGCTGCAGATGCGGAACTAGCTCCGCCCCCTCCTCCTCCCCCTCCCCCTCCCGCCCCCCCGCCCCCGCCCCCGCCCCCAGAGCATCCAATGCGTGTGGTGGCAGGGGATGGTACATGGGTGCGCGCTGCTGCTCTGGCTTCCGCATAAGTGCGCCTGCAAGAGACCCGTGTGAAGAAACGTCAGAAGAAGCAAGAGTCAGGAAGATGCATTGCGACGGCATGGGGGATTGAGTTAGCAAGTGAGCGTGTGAGAGAGATAAGCAGAACGAAGGCAGGGGAGAGAAGACGAGGGAAGAATGTGGGATCGCGGAGTGGGAATGGGAAGGGAGTGAACCTGAGTAGATGTAAGGCGGACAAAAAGCACAGATGCAAGCACGGGTAGGGAGGAACAACAGATGATAGCACAGGAGGGTGGCAGGTGCGTGAACAGAGCAATGGGCAACTTACCTCTTTGCCTCGTACAGCTTTCTTGTCTCCTGATCACACACAGAGCGAAGAAAGCAGGGAAGATGAAGAACAAAAAGTAAAGAAGGAGGAGTTGATGGTGCTGCCCGGGATGAGAGGTGTGCAAGGGATGAGAGCTGTAAGGGGAGTAACAGTCCCTGCGGGAGAGACCGAAGGACGCGTCACAATTGAAACACCGGATGGGGATCGGGACCACACACCGAAATCGTGAGCATCGATCGCCACAGCCAGGTTTCAACCTGCGTGGGACACGATCGCCCTGGAGGATCCATGTTTGGCGGAGTTCTTACTGTTTCTGAGCGTTGTGAATGCTTGAAGCGGGATTTCAGTGCGGTGGCGGTTCGATAATGGACGATCTTATTGTGACATGAGCTTACACGAAAGCTAACGAAAGCATGATACCCTAAAATTCGCAAATTGGCACATCTACTGTACACTCACATCGATCCCTTGCAGGATCGATGTTTGAATTGTGATGCGTCCTAAGGAGCAGTGGGCTTAAAAGAGTTGAATCAAAGACAAAAACCATTCACGCACCTCCACTTGGTGTATTTCCACGAGCAAGGACTCTGTAGGCTCTGCTATGGCCTGTGCTAGATGCATGGCCTGGTGGGCGCAGACGCATGGCACATGCACATGCACATGCACATGCACATTCACATGCACATTCACATGCACATGCACACACACACGCACACCCACACGCACACCCACACCCACACCCACACCCACACCCACACCCACACCCACCCAACCACACACACTCACATGCACACGCACACGCGCGTGCGCGCACGCACGCATGCACGCACATACACACACACTCACACACACGGCCAATAAAAAACATACAAGCAGGAAGATTGATTCCCATACGCTGCCTAGCAGCACAGGACCGACCAGGGGTTCAAGAGCATCCTTTCTTTAAACGCTTATAGAAGGACGAAATCATGAATTGAAGCAACAACAGTGTGTGATGCTGTGGGAAGTGTGGCGTACATAGCAGTGGCACAGCAGCCCAATAAGGATTTCAACAGCAAGCACATGTTCAATCACCCCGTGCGATGCTTCAGGCGAGTGTGAACGGCGCATGTGCGCGCAGGAAATGCCATGCATGCATACATGCATGCGCAGTTCACACGTTACCACATACATAGTAATGGAAGAGCTGTCCAATGCGGTCCTCCACCACAGCCACATGCTGAAACACACCCCGTGCGATGCTTGACTTGAGACGGGTGTGAAAGTCGCATGTGCGCATAGGAGGCGCATGCATGCATGTGTGTGCGCACGTACATAGTAATGGAAGAGCTGTCCGATGCGGTCCTCTACCACAGCTACGTGTTGGAACACCTCGCCCACGTTCCCGTCCTCTATAGCACCAAACGCGCCCGCCACAAACGAGGACAGCTCCCGAAACGCGTCGGAGAACTCTGGAGGGGAGACGAGTGAGGGGCGGAGAGGCAGGCGGAGAATCAGCAGAGGGGGAGTGAGGACAACAGCGAGATGCATGTGCCCAGTCATACGCCCACCCACCCATCCACACACCCCTTCACCCATCTACACACCCATGCAACCATCCCTTTACCCATCCATCGACACACACCCAACCACCCTACCCATCCATCCACCCAACCATCCGCACACCCATCACTCACCCACCCACCCATCCATTCAGCTAAAGCGCGCTGCTGCGCGTTGGCGACGCAACACGGCGAACCCCACGCCAAGACCCCAGTCATCCATCCACACACCCTTCCACCCATCCTCACACCTATCCACCCATCCATTCACCTGCGGCGCGCTGCTGCGCGTTGGCGACGAGGAACAGCAGCCCCTCGTACTTGTCGCGCATCTCGCGAACCTCCTGCGACAGGGACGGACGGGCGACAGCCAAAAGCAGGGTGACTTTTAAGGCGAATCAACAGTCACCCCCTGTCAGGGGGGCTTACGGCCGACAGACGAAAGCAGGGTGACCTTTAAGGCGAGTCAACAGTCAACCCCTGTCAGGGGGGCTGACGGCCGACAGACGAAAACAAGTACAGAGACGGGTCACATCGCCGGGGGCGAATCGCGGAGTCAATGTGAGTTCGGAAGAGTCAAGAAGAGTAAAAGGCGAGACGTGAAAGCGGCATAATCCGCGAGACGGTGTGCCTCGGGGTGACCTTGGACGCGAGACGACGGAGCTTGGAAAGACGTGAAGAAGTCTAGGTGACTTTTGAGTCGTCTCAAAAGTGAGGACGGCGGTTGGCGAGACGTGAGAAAGTCTAGAAGCTTCTGCCATTACGGAGAGTCGTCGGGATGCGACCACGACGATACCAAACTATATCTAGGTGCAGACGTATATTCCGAGTCGACTTGGAATGCAGTCTTACTCGGACGAATGAACTTTGACTCGACTCGAACGTCGCAAGAACTCGAGGTCGCAACGACGCAAAAGGGTCGCAAGGACTCAAACGTCGCAACGGCGCGACTGACCTGCATGCCGCGGCGGAACTCGTCCTCTATCGACGCCGTCTGTGGCGTCAGCGGCGGGCCGAACGAATCGCCGTCGAGCGCGTCGCTATTTATCGATTTATCGAAGCTTCCTGGAACATCAACATCCACATAAGGAGGGCCTCTACCGCTCTCCGCTCCACCCTCCTGGGCCTTCCCCTTCCCTCCCATCAGCTTTTTCCACTTCATCTTCTCGCTGTAATTAGAGGTACCCCAATACTTTGTCTGGTATTTCTTTAGCTAGAAGAACACCAACCTTGACACAGAAACCGCGAAAACTACTACCGAGAACCTCGTATCTACCAACATGGAAAGTGTGTAATGAATCAAACTAAGATCACTCTCTCGTAGGCTGGTTGTACTTGAGTCTCTCGTGCGTTCATCCTATGACTAGGTGTGGTGCTCGGAACGTCACAGAACAGCACAAACACTAGTATGAGCAGAGACTAGGCTGCTTGTCATCAGACGAAGGGGACGACCTACTCAAGTTGGTTGGTGGTTGTACGGATTTGGGGGTTGAGCAAAGAGGGCAAGTCTCACGAGGACTTCGGTTGTGTTGTCTCAATCAATTGACTCGACGCCGCCGCCATGGCTGGCTCCTTGTCACAACACGTGAGTTTAAAGCTTTCGTATACATTTGACAGAAGGGGTTCAAAAACTTTTGAAATTTGAAAGTTTGCCTGTGAGACCGTGAGGTGACTTTCTAAACCCAAAACCTGGATGACAAATGTATACTTCAGCTTTAACTACAGTACACTCATGTTAGCTGCACTGTACTGTACTGTGAATACTGTATTGCACTTTGTACTGCACGGCCCTAGAGGTTGTCACCTCGTCAATTTTGAAAAGTTTGGTTGGAAGGCAAACCCCAAGGCCATCAATCACTGGCTTCCTCGACTTTCTCCCCACCCCACCTCCTGACAGAACTCCAGTTTGGTTTGCCTGTGATTGTACGGAGCGCCTGTGGGAACCTTGATTTCGGGGGGCAGGATCTGGTGCTGTAACGAGTGAGGGCGGGTGTGTGCGCGACAAAATTTGTACACACCGCCACGGAACCGTTGTTCAGTTCCGAGCCTCCGTGGCCGTGGAAGGTGATTGGTTTCCTGCAAACTGACGCTCTGTCACGACAGAAACGGAAAACCGACAACCAGTCAACCTAAAACAGTATTGTTCCCTTATCGTGTCCGCCTATATGAAACCACATGTTCCATACATTCATTACTACATTCTCTAAAGATGAAAATTTTCTAAGCGTTCATCGCTTTTAAATTTGTGTATTGTGAAAGCGAAGCTGACTGTAACGCAATTTTGAGCATCGTCGAAGCACGCTATTCGCCTTCTCCGAATATATAATGTGGGTTGGGGTCATTCTTCCCCCACCCACGTCTCTCATTTTTACAATCGCTCAAGTTCAATTCCCAGTTCCGAGACCCATCCCGATTTTTTCGGAGGCTCCGACTCCCTCCCGATTTTTTCGGACCTCAACCTGGCGAGGGTGAAAACCCTTCCACGCTTTCAAGCACCCTCTACCCTGCTGTCGGATATTCTTAACTACAATCAAGCTTCGATGGCGCCGAGCGACAACGCCCCGAATCGTTCGGACAACGAGAAGAATACCCGTGAAATTACGGGAGATCGCCGCAACAAGCGGCGGGCGGACGACGAAGGCAACGCGCCCACTGGTGTCGACCTTTTGACGCGCAGTGGCGAAGTCAACAAAACCGCCAACCAGCAGCACCCCTCGGCACCTGTGGCGCCAGTGGCGCCAGTGGCGCAAGTGGCGACGACGGCACCTGCAACACCTGTGGCGCCACACGCGCCTGACGCCGAGCACGCGCCAGCACCTGTGGCTGGACCGTCGCGTCAGCGCCAGAGGCGCCGAACTGGGTCTTCGTCTGACGCGACGGTTGACCCTGTTTTAACTCCGGCGCTGACTGCTGACCAAGTCCAAGCGCTTTTGGCGCTGTTACAGCAGCAGCCGCCGGCGGTTACGGCTACAGCGACAACAATTTCTGCATCTGCTAAAAACGCAAACGCAAGAAACGATTTGGCGCGTCACCCTCGCGCAACCGAAGTCCCTCGTGCCGAAAGGGAACACGCTACTGCTGCGGCGCCCAACAATGTCAACGACGGCAGCGACTCTGAAGATGAAGCGGGCACCTACCGAGCATCTTCCTCCACTCCCGTCCACCAACCCCACCATTCCGGCATCCTCATTTCACCACGCCGGCGTACGCGAGCAAGCCGAATTTCTGGAGGACCTGCGCGCGTACCTGAAGCACTCGGAGCACAAGATACGTCACGGCGACACGGTTGGCGCCCTCGAGCACTTCGACGAGGCGTACGCGCTCATCGCCGATCGCTTCCAACTCCTCCAAGTTGCCGACGCATCCGACTTCAAGACGGCGCACCGCTTCAAGCTCTACCAGAAGAAAAGCGTGCTGACGTCGCGCCCCTTCAAGCAGGCGGTAGCGGACGTGGCAGCGATGAAGCGTGCCCAAGGTTCCTACGGTCGCGGTTCTTCCCTTGGAGGCCGAGGCTCGGGGTTTGGCGGCAAAATTGGCACGGCCCCCGGCTGCGATGCTAGGAGCTTCCGCGGCACCTGCTTCCGCTGTGGCCAGCCGGGTCACACCGCCAGCGCATGCCCTGCTGGTGGGCACGGCCCTCACGGACCCGCGCCGGTGGTTCAAGCTCGACGAGGAGCATAACCGCACAAAGGCCATTGGTCGTGCCCGTTGGGCTGTTTTTATTTTCTAGTCGCCGTTTGGCTGGCCTTAATTACCATTTTTGGGTCTATGGCGTTTGCCTATAAGCTCTTTAGAGCATCATGAAGTCGATCTTCTCGTGAAATTTTGTTGTGAATGTTTTCCCTAAGGGGAAGAGACCATAGATGATCTTAGGGCGTTTGCCTAGAAGATTGCTATAAACCCTATGAAGTTGTTCTCATTGAATATATTTTTTTGATGTGCATTTTGTTGAGATGACGAGGAGAAGCATTCACCATGTGTCTCTTGGTTGCTCTTGAGTTTTTGCCCCATGCCTCAAGAAGGTTCTTGGAGAGAGGCAACGAAGTCTCGAGAAGCTTAATACCTCAACAATCATAGGAGAAACTGAAGGGCAAACAACCTTGCCATGAACTGACTCTAAAAAAAAAAAAAAAAAAAAAAAAAAAGTAATCGGTTCTCGTGCCGGCAAGAAGGGTTATCCCACTCGAGCGTCAATGCTTCCTCGATAAACCAAAAAAAAAAAAAAAAAAAAATGCTAACTGTCATGTGTTGGATCTTTGTCTACTACCATGTGTAGGCATTCTGATGCATGCCATGGGGCAGCAAGACGACCCCTTTGAATACGCAGTGACGGATTTGACAATTTCCGTCATGCGAGGGCGGTTGCGATCCGCGTTGGCTTGGTGGCGTACATGGTGTACGAGCAGTCTTATCTTATCAATAATCGAACGAGGCTACTGGATGCCGTGGAAGCAAGGACCGCCACAACCATTTCGGTGCTCCAATCATGCCGGAACTCATGCTCACATGGATTTTACACGATCAGCCATCATGGACCTTCTTCGAACCGGAGCAGCAATCGAGGTAACAACGTCGGAGCTGGTATGCATCAGTCCTCTCAACGTCGTCGAGCAGCGAGACAAATGTCGTCTCATCCTGGATCTACGCAAAGTTAATATCGAGCTTTGCATTCCGAAGTTTAAGTACGAAGGACTTTCTCGCGTGTCGGAACTAGCACATCCGGTTGATTGGATGTTTTCAATTGATCTCAAGTCAGGCTACCACCACGTTGACATCCACGCGTCCTGTTGGAAATTCTTGGGTTTTCAGTTTGAGGGGCGCTCATACTGCTTCCGATCACTTCCGTTCGGACTAGCAACGGCGCCCTTCGTCTTCACTCAATTGATTAAACAGTTGGCACGGCGATGGCGAGCAAAAGGGGTCCGCGTCATCCCATATGTGGATGACATCCTCTTCTTGTGCCACACAGAAGTTGAGGCCCGGGATGTC